AAATTATCACTAAGACTGAAACCCAGCACATGACCTAGATATTCAGCTTTTTTTCTTCGAAGTAAAACTGTACGCTGACAACCCTAAAAACAGCTGTTGTGTTGTATTTGGTCATCGACTCCATGTGCCGAACTAGTTTAAAAAATAACAGAAGTTAAATAAATCTAAAGATAAATGCCTAGAATAAATATGCATCTGAGAGGAATTTATTATTTCCAAACAAAGAAAAGGTTAGTAGTAAATGACTTTTAACTACAAAAAAACACTAATCTTGTGATTAACGGTGTTTCAAAAACTATTAATATGAAAACTTCTGTAATAATACAGTCAAAATAAAAAAGAAATTGCAAATACTTTGATTGAAGTTCAATATTTGCACCATTGCTCACATTAGTCTATGCAGGAAGGAGCGACAGAGACATAAAACCGACGACGATGTGTATTGAGAAACTCGGGTTTCTGATGTGTCAGTAAGGTTCTGTAGATTAATAGCTTTGAAGTTTTGTTATTTTTTTCATAAAGCCGTGTTATTTTCACGAAATAATAAAATACGGACTTATACAATGATATTAATAATCTAAGTATCTCGCTTATTCTTAGTTTAAATGATAATTAAATAAAGGTTAGTTGTAATGGAAAGGTCTAATAATAAATAATATTTCTTTTCTTTTCTAATTTAATCAATAATTTTTTATGTCTTATAATTTTGTTAATGACTTGGTCTTAAATTAGGTAACCACTTTTAATATTATGGCCTTTTTTTCTTTTGTAACCGTGAAAAGCGTAAATAAAATTGTAATAATAAGTAAACAGCCTAATTATCAATTTCGTCAGTAAAAAATAGTATGATAAGTTACTTTGAAATTTCATTGTTTAATTCAATAAAAAAATAACGATTTTTTGTTAGGTTACGTAACCTACCTACACAGAATACACAGAATTTGATGACGCGGAACCCCAAAATCGGTACACTTTTGATTTAGGTACATTGGTGTTCGAGTTGCAATAATAATAACCTATGTAGTTTTGGTCATCGCGTCAGTCGCGTCCGTGACTTTCATCGGCGTACTTGTGAGTTTTCAGAATTTAGGTCAACTTACGTTTTCGTTCTTTCGGGACTTTTGGTTTGTTTTTCATTCTCGTTCTGTTTACCTGTGTATTATGTTTGTGTGCGGTCAGTGCAATGAATTCGTACTCAAATGCCTAATATTACGAGATGATAATGTGTGGCGGTGCTTGTGACGGTAATCTTGCTGCGGCTCGGCGGCGTTATGACGAGCGCCACGTGTCAGGAAGACCTGAAAACCATCGACGTCTTCCTTCTTACCGGTGATTCGCGGCATTTGTGAATTGGTTACATACAACTGGTTCATTCCATAGTGTGCCACAGGTAGGCCGGCCGATCACCTATTCCATCGAGACAGAGGATATGACTTTACGTTGAGAGTAACACGACACGGTCTGTGTCGAGTCGAATGGAGATGTGTTTTATGCGGTGGCCGGCATATCGAGACCCTAGACTGATAAAGTGGAGGTGAAGTGTAGGTAATGTTGATAAGTGAAAGCTGAAAGAGTGATTAGAACGCTATAGGTATGTACCTATTTAATCTTAAATTGTTTTAATTACAAGTAAACTCATACGTAGTCGAGTGCGCGCGTCGGCAACATCAAAATGTATTCAAGGAAACGAGAGAGTGAGAGGTAATGAGAGAGAGAGAGAAAGAGCGAGTGCGCCGGGACGGCACGTGTAAGCTTACAGGGTTGTAGCATAGTAATTGAAAAGAAATTGTTCAAATATTTGTATGAAAATATCAATTTACATGAAATTGTTTTTTGACCTATCAATTGTGTTCTTCGTGCTAGGTTGTATGGTCATGTTTCGGGATTATACAGGTATTACCAAACACGCTGTATATTGGCCTACTGCACTTGCGTTTTTTCAAATTGTCCATGATGTTGAAATTGACAAGATTAAAAAATGTGAATTATACTGACACCTAAAACAGTGCCACCTTACGATCTTGCATCGAAAAAAAAATATTTAACAAGATAAGAACAGCGCCATCTAGGAATCTGCGTTATAATAAAAAAGCTGCTGTTTAGAATTAATCTGACAGATATAAAAAAATCCTAACAAAGTGACGCCTTACGATGCTGGGTCGCCTTTTACGTTACTTGATAAATAGGCCAAACTGAAGATTTTAACATAAATAATAATGAAGTTTAGGACTCAAAATATGTTTATTACAACGTAAATTTTAGTTTTTCTGTAAATTTGCAACTTACTACTCTTCTTCACTACTTTTTCAGAACTTTCTTCTATTAACATTTTGAATAGTTTAAAAAAAGCGTGTATATGACGGAAAAAATGTCCACCAATCAAATTTAGACGCCGATGTCTGCAGGACACAATTTGTTATCCGTTTACAAAGATCTAATATATTCATGAAAAATCTTGTTTTAGCGAAAAGTCACTTGAAAAACGACTCACAGAAAAATCTACAAACGAGCGATATCCCTATTTAGATTCACGAAGCAATTTTGTTTTAACTATCCATAAATCATGTCACTGAAAATTCGTCCGTTTTCCAAATTTTCAAAACACCAATTATATTCCTGAATATGAATGAAAACTCTTTACAAACAACGAAAAATCATATTCAATGCCAACAAAACTTCTCAAAAAGCAATAGAGGAGTGGACAACTTTATTTCATATAAATAAATAGATATACATGAAATATATAAAAAAATATATATTTTGTTGAATGAATGATACATTCATAAACATATGATAAGTTATAATCTAAAAATGATATTAAAATGATAGTTTCAAAATTTCCTTTCGATTACACCCACTTTTGTCATGGCGTCGCTATGACGTCACGTTCCTCTAAAACTAATATCGTTCTATGTATGCATAAAGTTTGATTCTCTAATTTCTGATATGACAGCTCATATCAGGGCGTGACGTCACGCGCTGTTGGCGGTCACATGACAAGTATAAAATATTTGTTTTTCGTAATAAATTTTAGGCCGTATTATAAATATAATAAGCATAAAAGTGTGATTATCGGTAATAGTATATTAATTACTACCAGAAAAATAAAAACATTTACTGTCTACACCCGTATTAATATGCCACTTACCTGGAGACTGGGATGAACGCCGAGTTGCAGCAAAGTTCTGACGACACCTAAGAGCCCTTTGTTGACAGCGATGTGTAGAGGAGTCTGGCGGCTGCGATTCCTCGCGTTTAAATCGGCTCCAGCGGTAGCGAGAGCCCGTAAAGCGGCTGGCTCATCCCCGTAAGCGGCGTGGTGGGCGGCACGATCCCCTTCCCGATCCTCCTTGTCCACTTCTGCGCCCATTTCTACTAGCATTCTGATCACTTCCACGTGACCGTTTCTCGCTGCCGCCTACAAGACAACACAGTCAAAGTTTTTGAGACAAGCTTTTATTTATGCGCATCAAAAGGTAAATAAATAAATTCTAAATGTTTAAAGTACCTAATTATAGTCAAAAATGAATTCATATATTTGAAATGTGCTAATGTTTAAAAAAAAGCCCTTTCATTTGATAAGACATCATCTTCCTGCCCTTCATCCCACGTTACATAGGATGGGCCACAAGATGTTTTCTTCTTCCGTTCTTCTCTGTCAGATGTCAGCACCACATCCACACCTTTCTTATTCATATCCTCTTTCACACAGTCGATCCATCTTTTCTTCGGTCTGCCTCTACTCACATATCCATCCACATGCATTTGATAAGACAGAATCATTAAATATTTTTTTTTACTTTATGCTCTCTAGATGGCGCTGTTTCACATTTGATGTAACGGAAAACTAAGACGCTTCTAATAATACCACATTTGTGAAGTTGCGATGAGTATTTTCGAGGTTATAAGGGAATAGATAAACATTTTTACATACATACAGTCAAAATCAGAACCATACTTTTCGCTTTGCCGTAGACGGGTAAAAAGTGGGTATGACACTTATCGTAGGAATACCCAAAGTTTTTTTTTTACCTCATAATATATGTCTTGTCGTTTTATCTTAACTATTTAGAGTACCCGAAGTTAGATTAAAGTGAGATTGATAGTTAAATTGGAGATGGATGATCTGCTTAGCAAAAATATTCTTCATGAAAAATATTTAAAACATCCACTTTGTCCCTGGCACTCTTGAGACGAGACTCGAACCCATGACCTTTCGCAATCCGGGCGACTGCTCTAACCACTGAGCTAACACTCTCTCAAAGTGCCAGGGACAGAGTGGATATTTTAAGCATTTTTCATTAAGAATTAATTTTGAAAATTTGAAATAAATAGAGATAATATATTACAAAAAAATCGCTTAAATACATATGACATAAAATAACTTTCATTAAAAACATTGCCCAGACGCTAGAAAACCACAATTTTTATTCACCAAATTATACCCCAATTTTAAGTATGACAAATATTCATTACTTATGTCAACATGAAAGTTTCTAGAAAACCTATAATGTATGGCAGTTTCAACATCATTATTACCCTAATAATATTGTCACTGTTGATTAATAAAATAAAGAGTACCATAATATACAATGCTGGCTCAGTGCGGTTTGGTATTAACAACTGTAGGTCTAATGTCTAATGGCTAAACATGCATTCTGTAGCACGGCAGAGCTCGAAATAAAACTTTTTAACCACCCATACTACTGGCCCTAGCGAACCTACTGCGCTGTCCCTTGTACAGGGAATAGTGGACCGCATCATTTGTTTCCGAGCATAATAAATGGAGCAACGTCATGGTAAGGCATGATACAATGGAAAAATACCTTTAAAATCGATTCGATCAATTGGATATATTTGATGGCCTTAACCTGACACCGTATGTTCCCCAAATACGCCGATGACATCAGCGTGGCCACCATCAGTGCGCGCGAATATTTCCCCACATAGAGTCGCATTGACGATGCGCAGTAACTTGACGTGCTGTCGACTGTACCTGTAGCGCCGTATGTCCCCCGAATACGCCGTTGACATCGGCGTGGACATCTATATTGCGCGAATATTTCCGCACATAGAGCCGCATCGTCGTTGTGTAGTAACTTGACGTGATGTCGACTCTACCTGTAGCGCCGTATGTCCCCGAATATGCCGTTGACATCGGCGTGGCCATCTTTATTGCGCGAATATTTCCGCACATAGAGCCGCATCGTCATTGTGTAAAAACTTGACGTAATGTCGACTGTACCTGTAGCGCTATACGTCCCCCGAATATGCCGTTGACATCGGCGTGGCCACCGTCAGTGCGCGCGAGTATTTTTCCACATAGAGCCGCATCGTCATTGTGTAAAAACTTGACGTGCTCTCGACTGTACCTGTAGCGCCGTATGTCCCACGAATACGCCGTTGACATCGGCGTGGCCATCTTTATTGCGCGAATATTTCCGCACATAGAGCCACATCGTCATTGTGTAGTAACTTGACGTGATGTCGACTGTACCTGTAGCGCCGTATGTCCCCCGAATACGCCGTTGACATCGGCGTGGCCTCCGTCAGTGCGCGCGAGTATTTCTCCACAAAGAGTCGCATCGCCATTCGCTGCAGCCTTAACCAACTCTTCATTGGCATCTCCGGTAACATGTGATTCAAATAGTTTCTTCAATAAATCTGAGAGACACTCTCCTGAAATAAAAGTAAAAAATGCTAAGAAAGCGCTCGTTTTTAACTGAGGGACTGTTACGTCTAGGAAAAATACAATCCAGGAGTCGACAATATTTCAAAACTTATCATAAATTTTATTGGGTAGGCGTGTCAATTCACTTTTAATAAACAATAATCTTTCAATTAATTCAAATCAATCCGAAATTCTCTTGAACAAGTTTCAAAATGTCGGAATTAGTCGAAATCTATCTTTCAAAGCTAATTTTATCGAGATTCAATCCTGACATGATTGAATTTTTTTTTTTTCAAAATTAACCTATTGTTGTCAATGCACCTTTAAGGGTCATTCTGTGCTAACATTTATTTATTTATTTATTTTCAAATACAATGATAATTTATTGATAAATTCACCTGATGAATATCCCGGAATACTCCCAACAGACGATGCCACCTTTGTAACAGCATTGGGATTGTATGTCCAAGAAGTATTACAGACTTCCACTTTTAAATCTTTGTCATAATATATCTGTTGCACGCGGCCGATTTGCCCAAGAGTCTAAAATCAAATAAAAGTTCATTAATAATTATACACACAGTAATACATAATGTTAACATAAAATTTAAAATTTTATCAATCAAATCAAACTCTACTATTAAAATATTAAATTTAAAGCAAATGGCAAAATTTGAATTTTGTTTAAACTGACATACGTTACCCGTCACAAAAATTTAAAAAAAAATAACAGTTTAAAAAGTGAAGATTAATAATAATTCCAAGAAGCTCTATATATTCTAAAAAAAAGTTTGATGGTTGACAAATCTTCATAAAAGTTCCATATTTATGTTTACTTTCGTGTTGGGTATTATGGGGTCACCATCCACTCTTATAACAATGTTTAATTCATTCAAAGAGCAGGACAGCGCTAAACGGAACACACATCCCCTTCGCTGCACGGATTAAGCATTGCAATAAGAGCTATTGGTGAGGCCCCTGTACCTAGAGCCGTCTTTCCAGGATCCCAGCTTTCTGGCCCCACTATTGTAGGCAAAAAATAAGGCCCCTGTATTATTGACTATGCCTCCTTTATTCAAACTATAAGAACAAGTTTTCAAACGTTACTAGCAACAATTTAAATAGAGTTGAAAAATTTGAATATTGAAAGAAATTATTCATTCTCCGTTGAATATAAGTGCTATTTACATAACGGGCCATCCATAAATTACGTCACACGTTATGGGGGGAGGGTGGAGATCACAATAGATCAGCATTGGTCGCAGTGATACTGGGCTGCATAAACCCAAGATAATCCGCAACTCGAAACAATAAAATGGGGGGAGGGAGGGGGACGACGAAGTGTGACATTGTGTGACAAGGGGGAGGGAGGGTCCTAAATTTCGTGACATCACATTTCAAAATCTATTATAACCCAAGTGTTAAAACACGAACTTTAAGTTATAACTTTACAAAAACCTTGCAAAATATGTGACATCACACTAGGAGGGGGGTGTCTTAGAAATGTGACCAGCTGTGACTATGACGGGGGAGGTGCAAAAAATCATGAAAATCGTGTGACGTAATTAATGGATGACCCCTAAATACTTGCAAATGTTCACTCGTTACTATGCTTACGAGTTTCTAAAACATTATCTGTTTCGTTATGTCCAAGACACATACATATCATACGTAATTTAATCAAAATGTGATTTCTTGCGACATACACTAAGAAATAGCACAATTTGTTGTTGATGTAAAAATTTAACCTCCACAGAGTAAGTACAAAAAAAAATCTAAATACTACCGGAGCCATCGCTTCAGCCCACTCGCCGTGGTCTCTCTGTAATGCCTTCACTCGTTCTTTATCAGCACACACTTGCACTAGGTCACCGACGGCAAAACCACCGCCTGCCGCGCCGCTAGTAGACGTTGATGCACTGATATTGCCACTGCAAACCTTTAAGAGAAATATATAAGTAACATAGACACGGTATTTGTAGTAGTTTACTTGTAATAATTATGCTCAATCCTTAAAAAATAAATGACTTAGACAGGATAAAAAAAATATATCGTTTCAAAAAATATATAAGTATAATCTTAAATGTAAGCAGTCTGCCATCTTGCATGGCCCACAATATTGGTTTAAGTCATTTAATTAAAAAATGCCTATTGTTAACATAATTGCTCTTCATCAAAATCATAATTGTATATTGATACTCTAGTAGTTGCAAGTGGTAGCTCTGATTAGCTAGAAATACCTAAGACTTGCTTCACTTGTAAAGAAAAAACGAAAGACACATTACCTGTGCTTTGATTGTAAAGCTCCAATATGTTATATATAAAGCAGCATTTTAATTGTAAAGCTCCCAAATAAAAAAAAAGGTTAATTAATATTAAATTGATATTTTTTTAAGAAATTATCAATTTTTTTATACTTACTTAGAAGCTTTAAAATGCTTGTTTCAAATCTACATACCTTAGTTAAGACAGCAGGATTGAAGGTCCATCTATTTCCACTAGAATATGTGACCACAATATCATGGTCTTCATCTATGCACACTACAGTTCCAGTGGAACCAAGGCACTCAAACATTCCATCTGTCCAACCTCCATGTCCATGTTGTAATGATTGTACTATTTCTAAATCAAGGTCTACATTTACCTAAAAAAGCAATAAAATATATTAATTTTATTAAATGGTATAGTTACAAGCTTTGATAAGGACAAAAAGAAAATTCTTCATAAATAACAATTAACATGTTAATCACCACGATAATACCAGAAAAAAAAATCACATGGGCCATGGTAACTAACTTTATTAGATAATTTAGTTAAAAATGTATCAAGGAAACTTAATGTTTCACAGAAATACTTTTTTTTTTTGCTAAAATTGCTGGAAAGGCACTATTTTTTATGTCACATAGTGGCCCTAAATTAAAACTTATTTATCGACAAATTGTGTCAGTCTTATATGTCTGACGCATCCAAACAAGATACAACAACAAATGTATCGATCGCGTCGTACATCTGTGATTGACGTGGCTTTCTTCCAAATCGCGTACATTAGACATATACATCTGACATGGCTCATGTAGAACTTCTTAGCGTCAAACATGAATGACGTGGCGATTAAAGTGTTAATAGAGAGATTTTACAATACATTCTCATAAATTAAATAATAATGAATTAATGCATAATTAGAAAACTTATACAATGATGAAGGATATTGGTTCATATAAGATAGTTAGAAACACTGTATAACACGAAACCAGAAAGGCCTTTATTAAAAATCGAAACTAAATATAAAGTCCTATATAATTATTTTTGACTAAAACATTGACAAATGAATTAATGAAATGAAAAAGAATTAATACTCAATAATAAGCTCACTAATGCTGAATCTTTATATAACATTTTTAGTTTGACCATTAGAAGGATAAGCCACAAAAAATTTGGGCCTCTTTAGTGTTCATAGTTTCTAAGTACCAAAATTTAGTAAAAACAACACTGAACCAAAACCTACACCCATCAAAACTAAAATTAGTTTTTAATATTATGCAACCAATGCATCTTACTAGTTTTTAGTTAATCTATAAGCTAAGTACTAACTATAGATATGCACCGACCTAAGAATCTATGAAAACCTTTCTTTCTTATTATTTATCTATTTGGTAATAAATGTCGCAGTTGCCTCAAAAGGGGTAAATATGTTAATGTATATGCTATGTGTATTCTGGTCTCTAAACAATAAGCATTAAAATGTATACAAACTTCTTTATTTTTGTATAATAATCACAAAATTAGCAACACTTACTTGATCACCAACTTGTAGTCCATGGGGACCTGTCCGTCCTGGGCCTAGTTCTCCCAAAAGCGGTAGATGCTCTTTGTAAACATTTTGTCCTTTTACATCATTTACTACCTGAAATGTCAAATATAACGTATATTTAATTGTGAAAGAAATATTATTGTTTATCACAGGAGTTCAAAAAACATTTAATAAAAAAAAAATAAACTGGTTAAAATAGCCATTAACTGCATGGTTAATTATTTTATTGAATGGTGTAATTAATTGCACACTACCAAAAAGTAGCTGAACAAAACAATTTCAGAATAACTACCATTAATCTGTACTTATCAGTCACTGAAAATGAAATGGCCAATAAATTTATTTCATTAATTTAATTAATCCTCGCTCACCTTTAAGTCAGCCATGCCTTCAAAGCCAACCCTATAAAGATTCTTAGTGCCATTGTCCCACACTACATAGGCAGCAGAACGAGGACTAGCAGCTGACCAATCCTGTATTTCATTAACTTTCCCTCTTCTGCCATTACCTCCATCCTGATCTTCCCATTGCCAGTCAACCTAACATATTAAATATGAGCTACAATGAAATAGTGTAATCTTCACAGCTTTAGGAAATGAACAATAATAAATCGTGTTAGGCTACAAATGTACTTTTTTAATAATGTGATATCTTGTTCTTTTTATAATATTAAAACATGTGTTAAAGTTTTAATTCTCTAGTTATTTGCTTAGGACAACCTCTGTAGCAGAGTCATATTAATTTAGATAAAACAACTTTATATTGTCTCAGTTTTAAGTATTGAGGTTCCTTCTTTATCTAAGATACTCCATAATACACGGGCTTTAGCTGCTTATCTCGGAATCTAAACTAAGGATGTGATGTTGTTTAATACTTATTTATTTACTTAATTTTATCATAATTATGCCTTACCCCTCTAACAACTCTAGCTCCAGGAAAAATACCTCTCACAGCTTGTTTTTTACTTTTCCTGCGAGGCTCTACAAGGCATCGCTGTGCTCCTGGTGCACTAATTCTATAGAATCGATGACGGAGATGATGTTTATCACCATGATAACAAACAGAACACAAATCATAATTGCAACATTCTGCACACTTCCAGCGAATGCCTGAAATCACATAAGATTATTTTAGAAAGTTAGATGTTATTTACTGCTCACATCTAAAAGGCAAAGTAATCAGCATTATGGAGAAAGTAACAATGTTTTTTTTTTTAAATTACTCACAATAGCAAAAAGTCTATTGTGAATAATTTAAAAGGACAATGCTTAAACCCGAGTTAATTTTTTTATTTTATTTCATTGAAGAATAACTGGAGTTAAGCGTAAAAATTACATATTTTACCAAATATAGGCTGCTGATGACATGTGTCACACATGCTGCCTTCATGTTTCACACCAGTGGGTGCACTATCTAAAATGCGTAAGTCATATGCTCCAGAACACCTATAGTTTGCTGCTGTCCCATTATCCCAGACAACCACTACTTCTTCAGGGGACTCAAAATTTCTTACTGTTCCAACGTGACCCTCTCCGCCATCCTACAAAAGATTATAATAAATAAGAAAAATATTTCAGTTAGAAAAATTATCAAACATTTGATGTGACTTAATCTTTTGATTTATATAAGATCAAGTTTGGGAACTAAATGCCGGTCGTTTTTTCAGGATTATGTCCAGCTTCTTAACCTTTTCCTGGGACATCTGTAGTCTCATGCAAGTGTATACTTTTGTAAAAAGCTAAGAATGTTCTACCTGTTTGCCCCACTTCCAATCTGGTCCTCTTATAACACGTGCCCCAACACCTTCCATCATAAATCTTGTAGCCCTAGAAGATGTTGATGGTCCAGAAACACTAGATTCCATTTATAATGTAATTGTATTCTAACAAAAACAGAATAACATAAAAAGTCTACGCCTGCTTTTTGCTTACAAACTTTTGACAAATTTGACAATGACACTTTGTTTTTAATATGATAGCATAAGGAATTAATCGCTTATACTGCCTAGCAGTGTAGCAAACGCTTAACTTGAAAAGGTAGCCCATTCAAACAATTTTTTTGGAGAACTGCTCTATTAAAATAACGTAGGTTAATGTTAGATTGATCTCTTTACAATAATTTAGGAAATTTTATACTCGGTTTCTTAATTGAGAATTTAAAGTTAAACGTCTCAAACTAACGTCATTTAGTTTTCGTTTCCGATTTTAGTTTTTTGATGATCAGTTGATAGCAGTTTGATAAAACTAGGACTATTTGACTTGTAAAATTAAAAAAACTTAGGTTATTGAGAATAAGCAGTAGAAATTTTCTACTTTTTTCAAATCAGAAACCGGCTGTTAGTCTGTAAATCGATTTAAGCATTTTGACTGCCTTGTTTATTGATTGTGTAGCGAAATTTATGTACCTAGAAATTATACTCTTTATAGTTTTCATATTGTTTATGTCTCTGGTGGACAATGATTATTTGTTATTATTTATTATTATTAACGCAAGAATTTTCAGTGGTCTTGATAATTATAAAATTTGTTGAATACTAAGAAGCGTTTAACTTCCTACATCCAAACCATCCAAGTTGAAGTTGACACTGAATATTCTGGTGAATTGAACGATGTACGCAACCCCCAAATTGGTGACCCCGAACGAAAAGTATTAAAGAAAATTTTTATTTTCATCGGAATTTCAAGGAATAGTTTTCTTCAGTGTGTTATTGTGACCTGCGACCCCGTCGAAAGCGACACATCGAGCATTGAATCTCCGACACTGCATTACTGCTTCTACATGATACCCGATGGTAAAACGGGTATAGAGAAAGACCAGGGAGCTTTTAGATCACATGAGTTTATTTACCACCAAAATTATATATATGTACTTTATAAAAACATAAACAGCACCGACAACAGCTTTACGAAGAGAGACATTAATATATATAAACAATAGACGCGCATGTACAGAACCGATTGTCAATATTTAAATTAAAATTAAAAAGATCTTAAACCAAGAAGGAGGTCTCCCTCAACACTACATCGGATTTTTCCAGCTGCGTCGGTCATCAGGAAAAACAAAAGACGGTCTGACAGAATTTTCGAAATTTAAAAAAGCGGATGCATGGTGTTTTATATTGTTTAGTTCAGCAATTTTGTATTGAGTTTTATTTTAAATTGTTATTTTAATTTTTATTAATAGCATGTATTTTGTTTCGAACTGTTAATACCGTCCCCCCACGTCATCTTCAATATTATTTTCATTTTTGGTTACATATTTTTAGCCTTGTCTTCCTGATCAGTGTCCAGTTCCACATCATGGCTGAAGAGTTACGAGCGGAATTGGAAAGTCTACGAGCTGAAGTTGCTGCAGCCAGGAAGCAAATTCATTCCGTCGTTGAGAGTCAATGAGAGTGGAAGTGTCAATGTTTTTTTCAATTTTGTACACAATTATTGCCAAAGAATTCTTTTTCTCTTAACTAACAAGTTCCAAGTAAAATAGTGTCATATTTGAGTGTATAACGGTGAAAATCATAGGAATAGTTTGAGTGAAACCACATCATATACACTGCATAAACATAGCGTTGTCCCTGTTCCGCCCCGCATCTCACGGACGTGACAGCGGAGGGCCGCACTTCACCTCCTCCAGCTGAGAGATAGACTCATATTTTTCGTCCCTGTTGCACTCATAGAAGAAACTCATACAGCATGGCCTTGGATCGTACACCACCAAATAAATTTTCATCAGACACTAGCATACCAATATCAGTGAGCCTGGAAAATGAATCTCATCTTCTTTTGCGAAAGCGCAAACGAGATAGTGACGATTTAATTTTATTTGAGGAAAAGTTCAACAAGCAGTTGTCGATTTTAGAAACTAAACTCTCAGCCAGTATCACAACCGCAGTAAATACTGCGCTTACCCGCGAAATGATAAAAATTTCGTCATTACTGAGCGAAATTAACAGCAATGTGACAAAATTAAACGCAGATAACATTGCGATAAATAAGTCACTCCTGGAAACAAATAATAAAATAAGCGAAATGGAAAAATTCCTGTCTTTTTACTCTGAACGCCAAAATGAAGTCGAAGCCCGATTAAAAACAATGGAAGAGAGATATTCTCGCACAGTTAGCCTCGATAATCAGATTCACTTACTGCAAAATCATATAACAAAAGTAGAACAACAATTAAGGCAATGTAATATTGAAATATCCAATCTGCCAGAACGACGTGGAGAAAACCTAGTGAATATCGTGGAACGCCTGGGGGAAATCATTAAGCAACCAATACAAGCTAAAGATATTGTATCAGCTCATCGTGTACCACACGCCGATCCCAATAATCAACGACCAAAAAATATAATAGTGAAATTTTTTACTAGATTCCTTCGTGATAATGTAATTTCTGCCTGCCGTGCTATAAAGGGAATCGACTCAACAAAATTCTTAATTAACGGAACTCCAACTACAATATATGTCAATGAACATCTAACCCTTAACAATAAAATATTGTTTCGACAATGCAGGGAGACAGCAAAGAAACAAGGTTATAGATATGTTTGGGTCAAGCACGGTAACATACTGGTGCGGAAGTCGGACACCTCGGCAGCATTCACCATTAGGACAGACTCTGACATTTCAAAAATTAAATAAATTTTATTATAAATGGATTCATCTCATAATAGACGCTTATATAAATTTTTATGATTCGGCATTTTTTTCTGGTGGGTATAACGTAAATAAAAAAATACATGTTACTGTAAGAAATATAATCGACGGATATTTGTTATTCTTTTTTAAGAGTACAGCATATGGCATAAAGTACAGTTATGGAAATAAAACTTATTTATATAAACCAAATGTTATAATAATATTATATATTAAATTTATTCATTATGTGGTATATACTAATTTGGAGAATGTATTATGTAATAATTGGTTGCATGTTATGTGTATCTTGAGGCCGAATATTAATATTATTTATAAACCTATTAAAAATTACGATTATATGAATAAAAACATAACAAACCTAAGGCGTTGTAAAGTTATTTTGTTTAATTATTCTATGTTTGTTAATTCCAAGATCAGTCGGCACCCTGTGTGGCATAGGTTGGTACATACACGTGTATTATTTGATAATTTATTTGGTAATAAATTTAACTATAAATCAAAATTACCGTTTCCGCGTTGCATCCTATTAAATTTTGACATGATGATTCTATGTGATGTTTCTTTGTTCTCATATCTGAAAGCTAACGGGTTTATGTGTGAATCTGAGAGGACACCGGTCGTGAGATATTGCATGATATGTCCCATATCGAATTACAGTATATATTTAATTAAATTAATTAATTTTAATGACAAACGGTATAATCTTAATCGCCTAGGTACCTTAATCAATACTTATTTGGACTTAAATTGTACATAATGGCTAAGCTAGTTTTATCAGTCATGTATCAAAACTGTCGTGGTATACGCTCGAAACTACATACGCTTTATATGAATATAATGGCTCATGATTATGACATCATAATCCTTACCGAGACTTGGCTACATAGGAATATAACAGACAATGAATTTATCGATGCGCGCTATCGTGTATTTCGCCATGACAGGGATTGTACTAACTCTGGACGACGAGATGGTGGTGGAGTTCTCGTGGCGGTGCGCCGGGAGTTGTGTGTTACACAATGTCAACACACTCCCGGTGCTACGTCAAGTGCGGACATGCTAACAGACAGTATTGACCCCCGTATAGATCATGTATTGATTGAGATTCGCTCAAGTGGTTACTGCTGTGTTCTCAGTGCTGTCTATATACCACCAAAGATGAGTTCCGATGTATACATGGAGCATTTTACATATTTATCTAGTATATTGCAACATAACAATATCGATAACTTTATAATAGTAGGCGATTACAACCTACCTAGTTTGCAGTGGCGCGGTGTTGGAGATTACTTGGAACCTATTCTTACTGATAACTCCAGTATAACTGATAAGCTTTTAATTAATTTCATATCCACGTTTAAATGCTATCAAATAAACAAGTATAAAAACTTTAAAAATCGTTTATTGGACTTATTTATAACTAATATTGAAAGCTCATCTACATCACGGGCGCCCATTCCATTGGTGCCGCCTGATGTTAATCATCCCCCATTTTTTGCGCTTCTTGCTATAAATAATATTACCACGTCATTTACAGTTAAACCTAGAGTTACTTTTAACTTTAAAAAAGGTAATTATGACGCCTTAAATTGTGACATCGCTAACATAAACTGGAATGATTTGTTATCGGGAAGCGATGCGGAGGGAGCAGTTAGTGCATTTTATGAAACTGTTTATGACCTAATTAAAACACATATACCTACAAGAACACTCAAATCATCACAATTTCCTCCATGGTTCACAAAACCACTTATTCACATCTTTAAAAACAAGAACAATGCATGGATAAGGTGGAAGAAATTCAATAACAAAAGTGATTATGAATTGTTTTCTATGTATAGAGCCCGATTCAAATTGATGGTAAAACGGACCTATAAAACATATATGGAGTTTGTCGAGAATGGCATACATGATAACATAAAGTATTTTTGGACCTATGTTAATAATAATAAAACCACTGCTGAAATCCCAAGTAGAGTATCATATGGAAATAGGATTGCTGATAAATCGGACGATATCTGTAACCTATTTTCATCATTCTTCGCGTCTGTATTTGAACCCTCAAATCTAGATAAGGATTATGACATAAACCATCTTTCAGATACAAATAATGCTTCTAATATTTTTCTTAGCAACATAATCTTCACTACCAAAGAAGTACTTAAGGGTTTACGTAATTTAGACGCATCTAAAGGTCCTGGTGTTGACAATATCTCACCATTCTTCCTAAAAGCAACTGCCAGCACACTATGTCATCCTATTCAGCTTATTTTTAATAAATGTTTAAAGGAAGGGACATTTCCGACTATATGGAAGGCGGCTCGCGTTGTTCCGATTTTTAAGGGAGGTGATAGAACTAATGTTGAAAACTACCGTCCTATATCCATTTTGTGTGCTCTGTCGAAGCTCTTTGAGCGGCTTGTACACAACAGTATTTATCCGTCACTACATGCAATTATTATCGAACAGCAACATGGATTTGAAAAACGAAGATCAACTTGTACAAACCTATTGATATATGTATCGCATATTTTTGAAAGTATTGATGCAAACAAACAAGTAGACAGTGTGTATACTGACTTCCGGAAGGCTTTTGACAGGGTTGATCACAGGATACTGTTAGACAAGTTAGCATACAATGGAATTCGTGGTGACCTATGGAGATGGTTCAAATCTTATATAACCAACCGCACACAAAAAGTTGTAATTAACGGATTTGAATCAGATTACACATCAGTAAGCTCAGGCGTTCCCCAAGGCTCTATCCTTGGCCCATTACTGTTCATAATATTTATAAATGACATAAATAGATGTTTCCAATTTTGCTATTTTCTTTTGTATGCGGATGACTTAAAAATATACCACGTAATTGAAAATTTTGATGATCATTTAAAGTTTCAGGCTGATCTTGATCGCTTCTCAGATTATTGTTATGAAAATAAACTAAACTT